TTTCTTGCTGCGGTCGTGTTGTTTTACCGAGAAGAAGAGAAAGAAAGAAGATGACGAAATGAAGAAAATAAAAAAAAAAAAGAAAGAAAGAAAGAAAGAAAAAGTACGAGTACCTATCACTGCTACAGCTAATTGTAATAATAATTATCATTATTTTTATTAATCGATTATTACCGTAGCGACAATCTTTCTGTTTATCCGTCTTTCTTTTCCCAATGTATTATACCCTGTACATAACGATGTAAATGTTTATCAACGACTTACATACGATAGGACGAGCACTTGTAATTTTCGTAATGACGAATGGATGGATTGGTGGATGGGTGTATTTCCATTATTCCTTTTTTTCCCCTTTTTTGTCTTTTTTCCCTAATTTCACGTAACGTATGTTTGTAACAGGCATGTTCTATTGCTGTCTGATTCGTATCGATCACGATTAAACATATAAACGTGTCGCTATAAAAGTTGTGAAGCTGGTCGACTCACGTCGAACAATCGAGTGCTTTCCTTTTTTGTAGAGGCGACGAAATATTGTCGATCGTAGACGTTGGATGAAAGTGTACTTGCACGGACGCTAAATTAAAAGATCATTTTTGCAAAATTTTACGATGCTTATGATTACTACGATTCTGTTGATCGACTTTTCTCGTTATCCTTGATTTCTTGGAGAATTGGATGGAAAATGTGTTTCACCGTTTTCCTTAGCCTTCTATAGACACTTTTACTGCATTGAAAATCGTTTTTAATAAAGAATACAAAGCATTTTCTTGAAATATGGCTTTTTCCAGACCAACAGCTTTAACTTTTCCGTACTTTTTCAGTCCTTAAAATCTTCTAGTCCCGAAATTTATAATCCCGACGCATAACACAAAGATTCTTTCAGAGTTCTACTAAAACGAAATTTGAATAATTCAACGATTTCAATTTTAATTAATTAATAATTTCGAATTTCTGTCGAGTTAAGTAAATTGATTGAATTTCCGTCGTTGCGACGCGATAATCAAATTTATTAAAAATAAGAAGTTGAAATTATTTCTAAATTATTAATAAAATCTACGATCGATCACTATACCATTTGTCAAATTTCCACATCAATCATTTTTTTTATACTGGTCGGAATCTCGTGCAATTTTGTCGAATTAATTGTACGAAAATTACTTCTTTACCTCGAAACCGAAAAGTTGAAGGCAATATATTCGATCAGCGACACGTTTATCCTGTATTTCGTGAACAAACCTATAATATCGACGAACAAAATTTGCTTCCTCCAGAACAAACGAATAAATGAATGGATAAACAAACAAATGAATAAATAAAGAGCAATTGTATAAAATGTACGCGAAACGGAACACAATTCGTTCGATGATCGATCATCCACTGTCACTGTATGATGCGTGCCTGACGGTGTGGGTGAATCTTAATACTGTTAATAGATATACGTACCTAATGTTATTAATTATTAATTAACGATTGATTTGTAATGATAACAGGGCCACGGAATTCTGGAGGCTCGTCGCGCGCGAGTCCGTTTCACAGCCTTTCCCCCCGAGCGATTATCTTTTTTACTTATCTCGCGACGCAACCTAATGTTTTTTAACAAAAAATAGAAAACCAAAAGGAACAAAAAAAAAAAAAAAAGAAGAAAAGAAACGAAAGGAAGAAGAAGAAGAAGAAGTACATGCAGCCGTGGTTGCGACTCTCGTGAGATTCTAGAAGCCTCTTGCGTTACGTGTCCACGCGGACCCTACTAATAAACGCCATAGTGGTCTGAGAAGTAATTGGCTCGAATAAATTAAATTTACATTAACAATCGTCTCGGTCATTGTCACGAGTTTCCGATTTCTTTTTCGCGAAACAACGACCCTTCCTCTCCTGTGCTTCTTATTACACGCTCGACTTCCCGTCTCGGTGCTCATTTCATTCTTCGTTGCTTTTTCATTTATTATCGTATGGTGGACTATTTTGCAAATCAAAGTCAATTCATTTGAAGTTTAAATTTTAAATTCGAATTAGTATTTTCACGCGAAACTTCTACGGGAATAAAACACGAAGAGATGTAGAATAAAATAAACCAAGTATCTTATGAGTTTTAGAGTTTCATGTCCGATATTCTGAAATACCGACATAGTAAAAAAATCATTGGTTTTTCTTTAGCGCCCTCTACACTTAACAGCAGCGAGTTGGAGAACTACATCAAATAAAACGACTGAAGTTGATCAAGTAGTGAATGCGCCAGAAACATGATTTTTGAAATTTATTACAGTATTGTCAAATTTTCAATACCGAAATGTGAAGCTAACCGAAATCATTCGATTATATATCAGAAGAGCTACCCATGTTTTACGGTATTACGATGATTTTTTTTTTTCATAGTAAATTAAAATTCTAAAGTTATTGATAAAGTATTAAAGAACCTATCAGCTCAAATAAATTTGATCAAAAGTTTGATATAATGTGAGAGAATTAAAGAGAAGAAAGAAGAATTCTCTTATTCACAGATATAATCATTGTAGAAGAAATAATTAATCCTAGACCTCTTACAATATTTTTGTACGAAAAATATACAAATTCGGATGAAATATTTTCCATAAGCTTGCACATTAGTTACCCTTATGTCAAAACCGATATATTATTTATTTCGCATTCATCTAATGGATATGTACATCTACACAAACAGGTAACCAAGATCACAGCCAATCAGCTCGTATTACAATATAATTAATTAATATCATATTGCATATAATTAATAACTGCATCAGTTATATAGTTAACTGTTTAACTATAATGCATTTAGTAATTATATAATAAATAATATTTTTCAAAAAATGAATTGAATGTTATATAAAGTCTTCTTTTGATGATTTCACAATCTGTATTATATGAAGTCTTTTTCCGATTGATTTTATAATTTGTACCTGAAAAAAATGTTTAAAAACTGAAAAAAATTGGCTCAGTAATTACCACGCAGTGGTAAAGGACGCTCAAAAAGAAAACCTAACACGAAGCCGACAAAGAAAATTTAAAACAATAGTCTGAAGGGCCACTGAAAAAGAAATGGCGCTGCAATAATCAGAAGGGCAATTAAAAGAACATTTCCTCAATACAATAACCAGAAGGGCTATTGTCAAATCTACATTCGACATGAATCCGAGCAACAAACCGTATCTTGTTTCGCAACATGAACTCTCTAGTACTACTAATTATGAAATAGGAAATTTCCACAATCAAACGCGAAGAGTGCTTGGTCATATTTAAAACTCCCGAAAATAGGTACGCAACGCTATTAATCTATGCACTCATATTTAAAATGCGCAACACTAATTGCGACACGTCCACTGCAATCAATCCTAGAGGTTGTTGATGAATTACCACCTGTATACAGCTCTTGTAGCTGCATCAGGTGATCCAAAAGCAGGAACAGTCTTCCACGAATTCAGTGGAAGAATTTGGGCATTTTATGAACGCAACGCTACTACTCAAGAAACGCGATCATTCATATCGCAACACTACGAGGAAAACTAATCGCGATGAAACAATGTTGCAACACTAACTCTAAAACTAAATTCAATGAAAATTATTATGAACAATACAAAACTGTACGAACAAAAAGTTATTTCAAATACTTTAACACTCTAAAATTAATTA